AAATATGTATCCGTCCCTAAAAATACAAACACACAATTCACTTTGTCCAGCCTGCTAACTGTTGTGAGTGTAAACAAATGATCTCTTACCATCGATGTCATTGAGCAGAGCCGTGTCAATATCACTCGGATCGTGTAAAGACAAACTGGAGTCCAAGGTTTCCAGTGACGGGTCGTCAAAAGACAGATTCATTGTCCTCAAATGCTCTTTCAAGCTGACTTCAGAAGTATTAAAGTCCCAGCGAAACACACACACACAACAGGCGTTATTCCATGTAAACTAGGAACTTCTTGCACTTGTCGGGAGAGCAAATATGCCCGGACATTTGTTGGCTGCGTTTCGTAGGATCCGTCCGCTTAATTTTCGAATTTTCAACTTTGTTGCTGATTTAGTCAACTACCTGCTCGCGTTCGTTTCCATACTGCCGCACAAGGCAAAGTTGACTTAAGAGTTTGCTGCTTTGCACATTAGCATGCTAACAACGAGAGCCAGGCAAACCCCAGAGCGTTGTGAGTGATTGACACGCCGCTCGACCAATCAGAACTCGCTCTTTTAGCAGACGCTCTTTCACATGACGTGCGCGTAAGGTTGGAAAGCTACGAAACTGCAATTTAGGTCACTTTTTTGAGGTCAGGCCAATCAGAAGAGAGGCTCATGAATATTAATTAGACAGGCCAAAATCTACCTGTTCTGTCCTGAGAGAGGAGCTGTAAAAATATATTGAGATGGTTTTTGGTACTTATACCGCAAATATATATTCTTAAGGACATCAAAACCTAAAATAAAACTTCAGAAAGGTGTACAATATGTGACCTTTAACATAAGAACGGGCACGGCCATTTGTAAGTTGTGTGCGAGACTTCCGGTAGCGGTACAAAAATAGTCCGTTATTCTGACATTGCAAACTGGTATTCCTTATCATATTGTTTTAATTTACCATCATAATCATACACACTAGTTTGTAGCGCAAATACTTTTACCGTTTAATAATTCGGATGTCTCATGCTTTCACAGAAAATAGCTTGAAAAATAACGTGGAAAGAGCACTAGTATAAAAATAGAAAACTGGATAGAGATTACAATTTTTTTAATTAATGTTTTAAAATGTAGTTGTGTGTCACAATAAAATAATAGTCATAAATGTAATTTTCACAACTTAATCTGGCAACTGCATCCCCATTCAGTACTTTAAAAATGTAGTTTGATCACATAAAAGCAACCAATGAAGTTTTAACTGAACTCGAAGACAAAACGTTTGCACACATGGTAAAGATTGAATACAATAAGTTGAGAAATGTTTGTTTGTTTTTTAAAAAAAGCTAACCTTATAAAAACTGGATATAACAGATATAACAATGAGCTTGTTAAAATGAATCACACAGGAAAATGTTTGCATTAGGCAAATGAATCACTTTAATAAAATAGTTTGGATTAAACAATAAATCTGACAATAGGAAAATGTATTACATTTCATTATTCTAAAATACATTTAAGACATTATGAGATAAATAATCAAAATAGTCAAGACTTTTAATATCACATGGCAACATTCATTTAAGCAGTTAATCAAAATAATGATTGCCACCGGATGAAAGCAGAGCTCTTTAGAACAAGCCAGATATTACTAACAGGTATTACACTTTCCTTCTTACAAGTAATTAGAAGGCTGGAAACAAAAATAGATATTGCAGTTTTTTAAGATTAACAGTAATCTGTTTGTTATTACATTATGGCATAACAAATAGCTATCTTTCAAACGGCCTTGGCTAAGAAATCAGGCCATTATTGATTCCTGAACATGCTGCAATTTCATTTCAATCAAAACCAGTGACTTGTGCCTTATATTCAAGTAAAGCATACGGCCCTCCAGTGTTTTACATGTTTAACTGCTGATTTACTGATTTAGGGGGAGTGATGGAGGTTTGTTAGTATAACTGGCAACACAATGTAAGCCCTTCCCATCATTAGACGCTTAACAATTGAGGTTTTGGAGTTTAAAATGCATCATGCTTGATCTAGCTGCAGTTACTTTATATACATATAAGACTGAAGTGAACATCTTCCTCAGGTTGTTGGGAAGATAGCAGTGCAACATTTAGCATGATTCAAATGAAGAGCTGTACTGTACAGCTGTTAGTGACTGTAAACGGACTGGAATGAAAACCACTGGCGATCATGACAAAACAAAAAAGAGGGATGCAATTAAACATGTATTTTAAGTTAATACAAACTTTAAGTACTATACACACTTTTCTATTGTATATACACATTTTTGTATATGTATGGATACATATTTTACAAACGCCATTAGGCTAATATAATTCTTGGTTAGGTCTAGCAAGAGTTAGGGCAAAGCAAAATATCCATTCATTTCCTAACTTCACTGCCAAATCTGCCAATTTTTTGCTGACTGAAATCAATCCTTAAATAGGAATCTGACAGAAAGATGCAGTAAGGGGGCGAATTTAATGAAGAAATGTCTGTCATATTTCATATACCCCAAAAACAAAAGAAATTTCAGAAATGATATATTGTGTATCAAGCAAATGAAGCCTATTTTTGGCAAATGAAGCCTAGTTTTTTTCCTCTATCAGTTTAAATATATAGAGTCTGTAGGCAAGCTAGAAGTTAATTATGAGTAAATTATAAATAATTTTTTTATAGGTTAATTGCTCTGAAAAGTGTAAATACTGGTGGTGTAAACATTTTTAACAGTATGACTTTGGGGTTTGATTCATTTTTTAAAATTATTTTTTATGTTTTTGAAAGAAGTCTCTTACACTCAAAAGTCCACATTTATTTCATGTGAAATAAAAAAAATTCTATAAAACAGTAATATTGTGAAATATCATTACAATTTAAAATAACTTTCTATCTGAATATATTTCAAAATGTAATTTATTTCTTCAGAAATCATGCTGATTTGCTGCTCAAGAAAAAAAAAATTATAATAATAACCACAGTTCCTACAAAACTGTTTTCAACATTGATGATGATAATAAATATTTTTTATGATTATTATCAATGTTGAAAACAGTTTTGAAAACAGTTGACAATATTTATTATTATTATCGATGTTGAAAACAGTTTTGAAAACAGCTGAAAAATATTTTTATTATTATCAATGTTGAAAACAGTTTTGAAAACAGCTGAAAAATATTTTTATTATTATCAATGTTGAAAACAGTTTTGAAAACAGCTGAAAAATATTTTTATTATTATCAATGTTGAAAACAGTTTTGAAAACAGCTGAAAATATTTATTATTATTATTATTATTATTATTAT